AGACATACCAGCACCCAGAGATTTGAGTCTAGCCCCAGAGGATCTGCGGCAACAGCAACGAGCAGAGTCCTCCTTAGAGGTCTGAGTCACAGCTCATCTAAGTCCTACCTCTGAGTTCCCAAAGCACCACCCAGGAAGGCAGCCCCTCCCCAGGGTTCCTTCGCTAGGGGATCCCCTTTCTATGAGGTCTCTTCCTCAAGCTTCCATGCTCTTGATAACCTGAACTCTTTCCTTTGTTTCCTCCACCCTAAGGGTGGAGCTGCTTCCTGCAGTTACTGTCTCAATCACTCCAGTGTTCCCCTTTACCTCTCAGCATGCCAATCCCTAGTTAGCCTTTTTTTTTTTTTTACCTCTCAGGACTCCAATCCCTAGTTAGCCTTTTTTTCTTGCATTAAATCTTTCTGTTAAAATAACATGTGTGGTTTGTTTTCCTGACTGGACTGTGACATATCAGCTAAGTGCCCAACATTAGGAAAATGATTGGCCAAACCAATTATGGTACCACTGTACAACGGCATACAATGAAGCCATGAAGATCTGCCTGGTATAAAAGTACTTAAGGACATGAGAACATGTTCATGGTATACTGAGTGAAAAGGGAAGGGTACAAAATAATAGGCAGTGTGGTATGATTCCACTCTTTTAAAATAAAAGCATGTGTGTTATATAGAATATACTCAAAAAAATTAGTCATCTCATCTCTAGATAGTAAGAATCACATAATTTTTATGTCCTTTTTGCTTATCTGTATTTTATAATTTTCTAAAATAAGTGGGATACTTTTGTTATATGAAAAAACTAAAGATACTACTTTTAAAAGTTAAGGCTTAAAAGGAAGATATATCTTTTGAGGTTTTAAAGAAAAAAGGCTGAAAAAAAATCACTGTGCACACATATCAAACAGATTGGAGAAAATAGTGGCTAATAAAGAAAAACTAAAAAGCAAACTAATGCCTTCCTTAAAAGTAATCATTTGTTTCCCATTATATGAGTTATAATGCCCAGAAGATTGATGGATTTGCACAGACAGACCCTTGTTATTCAGTATCCACGGTCCACATTTTCAAGGTTTTTTGAGGATCAGGCAACATTTAGAAAGACAAGCAAAGTATTTAAAGAAGCTTTACAAATTACATTCATTCGTTCTCCATCCTGTTCTAGAAAGGGCTTTAAATGGTTACAAAATTGTGTATAATAAAATAAAAGAAACACAGGAAGAAATCAGGGTGAAGGGTAAGTTAGGGCTGAACAAGAGCGTAAAATGGCTGTAGTGCTCTTGGGATGCCCAAGACCCTTCATGGGTACCAAAAATGGCCCATGAATACAACTCTGAACTTCAGCCTCAGCAGAAGGAAGAAGGAAACATTATTATTCATAAGATCAAGAGTAAAAGTCATGAAACAACAACCAAAAAAGCTAACTAGCTTACATGTCAACTTTGTGATCTTAGCTCTAGATCATTCTGCTCCACCAACTGTACCATGATGAATATGTGCCAGACATACTCACTCTAATGTAACAAGCTGAGCAAATTGTTTGAATATAGAAATTCAAACTTAGCACCATGTCTCCAGGTTTTTATTCATCCAGTTGTATCTAAACTTGGTAAACTGAGTTCTTTAAATTGTGGAGAAAATTCCTGACATTTCTATTACTGGCTTCTTGATTATACTTACAAGAAATCTGTTTCTATGCAGAAACACACATTCTCTGATGGCCGTCCTCGTAGAAAACTCTATTTTGGGAGCAATGCCCTAAAAATAAAACAGCATAAAAGGGGCAAATGAAATTATTGGAAACAGGTTTTTTGCCCCTCCCATCCTAACTTGAAATCATGCAAGAACCTAATTGCTCTTTTGTGTGGTTGGCATAATCCACATGTATTACCTAAAATATACACATAACAAATATATATGTACACAATAAAATATTATTCAGCCTTAATTAAGAAGGACATCTTGCCATTTTCAACAACATAGAAGAACCTGGAGGACATTGTGCTAAGTGAAATAAGCCAGACACCGAAAGAGATCAAGATATCACATGATCTCACTTACATGTGGAATCTAAAATAGTCAGACTCATAGAAGCAGAAAGTACAATGCTGGTTGCCAGGGGCTGGAGGATGGGGAAAATGGGTAGACATTGGTCAAAGGGTATAAAGTTTCAGTTATGCAAAATGAATAAATTCTGGAGATCTAATTTATAGCAATGTGACTAAAGTTAATTTTATTTTGCTTTATAGGATATTTGAGAGAAATTGAACTCCTCTATCTTTTTACAAATTGTTTAAAATACAGTTTGATTAACTTCATTGTAAGAACTGATTTTACCTCTAATGCATGAGGAGGTAAAAAAAAAAAAATCATCCTTTTTATAATTAGGTGAAGTGTAAATATGGCAATGATTTAGCCAGATTAGGTAAGACTCCCACCTCTCCGATCAATAATGGCAATCAGTATAATTTGGTATTCTGAGTGGGGCATCAAAACAAGACTGCTGAACAGAATAACAGGGATACTGACCAGTCCAAGAGTAAGCCTTACCAGGAGTAAAATGTTCAGGTCCCAAGAATTTACCCTGCAACAGAAGCCCCGCTGGGCACAGATCACTTACTGGAAAACCTGCAGTTGTTTTCATGAGCACTTCCCTACATATCCCTGGGTTCGAAGGTGTCAGCTTGGGCTCAGGGAAAAGAAATTCCCGTGTGTTTTCTTCATAATAGGCCAACTCTTCCCACGCTAAGAAGGAAGAAGAAAAGGCAGAAGTAGATTTATGTTCTGAAAATGATGGATCTATATCCCCAAGTTTAACAAATTAAAAGCTTAGACCGGTGATGGCAGAGATGGCACACAGAAAACAATAGACATTATGATTGCAGTACTTGTTATTCGAGAGGCAGATGACTTCTTCTACTTTTTATCTCATGGGTAATTTTTAAAAGCCTACCTAAGTCATAACAGAGATAAAAACTATCTAAAAGGTTGCTCTACAAAACAAAGAGGAAAATCTCTTTCCATTCATCCATCCACCCATCCATTCTTTCCTTCAGCAAATGTTTTCTAAGGATATAACGTGGGTCAGGTCCTAGGGGTAGAATAGGAACAAGAGAGACAATGCCTTTTTCATGTAAAAGTTACAGTGCAGACTGGAGTTTGATGTGTTCTGTGATATAGGGTTGTCAATGTCCCAAAGGTCCAGAGAACAGCTAGAGCTGTGGGTCTTAGTAGGGCTGGTGCCAACCTCAGGGCCATTTCCAAAATATGTGGGCGCATTTCACGGACAGGAGCTAAGGGTTCCACAATGCTCAAGATGCTCCTACACAACTTTCTAACATCTCACCAGATGTTCTTTCAAGCAAGAAACCATTTTATAACTATCAGAGCCTCGAAGCTAAATGTTACGTATAAACACAAGGCGCTTTTTTTGCACAATTTTAAAATACACTGAATTTTCAGGAATGCAGTTACCGTGTAAATTAAGGAAAAATTGTACTTTGCTGTTTGGATCTTTACTGAGATCCCTTTGGCATTTTTAAGATCATGTCACATCTAAATACTTCACTATGCTCAACATTTACATGTTGATACACATGTCATTTTATTTTAAGACACTTTCCTTTTATTTCTCATTTATATTACACTTCAAATACTGAGGTTTATATAAGTTGGTTCTATTAACTATGAATATTATTTCACTATGGTAAAAGAGGTGCTACAAAATACTCATTACTGAAGAAGATCTGGGGTCTAATAGGATTGAGAATCGCTGAGCTAAAGGATGGAGAAGCTGCCATCTGAGCCCGCCTTTCTGCACAGTTGCTACAGAAGTGGTTTGGACTGAGAGTGGCCCCTGTGCAGAGCACTGCCAAAATAGAAACGTAGTCAATGGGGCAGTGTTACTGTTTGGTGACTGCCATTTTATTTGTGACAAGAATTCTGATGAGGGTATATTTTTGGTACATCAACTGTAGAAAATAATTGACCTTATATCAAATAATATAATGAACTACTTTCTTCCTACTTATTCCACTACTGGGTGCTAGTAAGGATAGAAGGGTAGAAAGAATATAGTTTATTTTTCATCATAGTATCATTTCTTTCTACTCTCTGCTCTCAGACATGCTCCAGTCGCAACAAACTAACAATGTGTCCTTCCCTCCTTGCTATGCTCTTGCACAGCTTAGGCTATTCCTTCTAAAATGTCTTTTCTTATTTATCATTCAAGTTTCACCTTAAATGTCTTATAGTCTTTCCAACATAATGGATCCAAAATAGAACTCTTTATTTTTTCCCACAAATAAGCTCTCCTCTCTCTCCCCATCAGAGGAACCAGTACCAGCTGTTCAAGCCACGAATCTAGGATTTATCCTTGGTTCTACTCTTTCACTCCTTAAATCAACCCATTAGCAAGTCCTGTTGACTCTGTCGCCAAAATAAATCTAAAAACTGCCCCCTTCTCTCCGTCTTTATAGCTACCACCCTGGTCCAAGCGCCCCCCCCCCC